AAAAGGTCAGAGGGAGCGGTGAGGGAAGGGTGGCACAGGTTCTGAGGCTGAAGTGAATCATGACTACTTCCGCCAGCTGCCGGAGTCCCATGCCACATCCCCGGCTCTGGGGTATGTGTAGGGAGGTGGGGGGAATTGGGGGCAGCAGCTGTAGGGTGCTGATGTTTCATTCCTACATCACTCTGGGGCCAAGGAAACAGATGTGTCCCATCAGGACCCTCACAAAGTGCAGCTGGGTGCAAGCATGAGTTGTTTCTGCCTTTGTTTTGCAATTGTGATCCTAATCTGCCAACAGCCAGAAACATTCCCCCGGTTTAATTCTCCCCTCTCTCAGTTGTATACATCCAGGGCAGGGGTGAGGAAACGACTAAAACACCAGCGTTTTCATGATGCCACAACATGTAACTTATTTAAAGGCTCTACATGGAAATTCATTATGTAGTATGTTTATATCTCCGTGCTTGTCTTTTTATCTAGGTCATGGTATCTTTGAGAGCCGGGACTATCTTATTTATTCTGGGGCGAGTAGAACTTAGCACAGAATCTGAAACATAGTGGTGCTTATTAAAAATTCAAAGCAGACGCTTCTTCAGAGAAACAATCTGCAAAGGAATACACGATAGATTGTGCAAATGTACATGAAGCCCTACTGGCTACGCTAGAAACTTAGACAACGGCTCTGAGGAAGTCTGACTGGAAACCTAGATTCCAGATCTTGCACAAAGCGGGATGCCAGGCTTCCAAGGTGCAGGCCAAAGCCCCGGTAAACAAAAACTCTTCCTAGGTGAATGTACAGTCACGAAGTAAGCACGTGTTGCCCAGGGTTTTGGTACAGCTATTTCCTCAGTCGCTTTTAAAGAGAAAACAATGGTTTAAATGATGGTTGATTAAGAGAGATATTTAGGCAACAGAATAAAAATTGGTTTTATTATGTATGGCTTTTTGTTGTACACACCAGATAATTATCCCTGGAAGACTGTCACCCGCCCCCACGACCCCCATGAGTGTTTGTTCTTTTCTCACTGAGATTGAAGAAACTCCAACATAATCCTCACCCTGCCCCCTCAGCGTCTCCCTCCCACCAAACACACAGTTCCTGCATCGTCTGTCACTTTGACTATCTCGGGCACTCGGCCACGAGCCCTTGGGAATGAAATGAAGGACAACCCAGGGAACCCTCCGTCCTGTGTCTGCTTCGGGGGATTAGCTCTGGACTAGACGAAGTGCCAAGATCAAGACGAGCCCCTTAGAAATGCTGTCTCAAAGCAGCCCATGTCCAATAGTCAGTCATTTCCCAATGCTCAACTGAATATGTATAAGTCTAATTTTCTCACCTAGATTATAAACACTCCTTGGGATTATTATGACTCTTAGGCTTTTAAGTATTTTCCAGCATAGGTTAGGTATAGAGCACATGTCAAAGAAATTCTTGATTATCTGGACCAGAGAGTCAGGGTGGCCTAGTACAATCAATACCCAGCACCAGGGAAAGGAAGGAGCAGACAGCCCACGCACGGTATGCAGGGCCAAGGCTGAGGCGACACATGGACGAAGGCTACTTACGTGATTAACTGTGCATTGTCGTGTTTCTTCTGGGTGAGCAGCTTGCGCCTCCAACTAAGAAATGACCAGAGGGTAGAGTACGGGTTCTCTGAAACTTCACACAAATTCCTGTGAGTCCACACTTCCAAGCCCACAAGGGCAATCCGGATGTTCAAGGATCGGTAAAACTGAAAGCACACGCAGAAAGGCCACAGAATCATCTGTCGATGCCACCTGAGATTTATAAACTCCTCCCCAGACTAAGCACTCAGAGCCCAGATCCCAGATTTGTCTTCTGCACGCGCCTCCAAGGGGAGGAGGCCAGGGATGTCATTATTTGCATTCTTCAGAGGGGGAAATGAGATCCTGAGAGATGTACAACATGCTGGTGGCAGAGATGGGGTGACTTAGCTTAGAAAAAAGAAGACTGAGATAGGATATAAAGCTGCTTTCAAATAAGTGCAGGGCTGCCATGTGGAAAAAGGATCAGCGTTCTTCCAGGTGGTGCTGAAGCGAGGCTCAATCAACAGGTAAAACAGACAGGAGGACACATTTCATTTTAAAATAGGAAAAAGCTTTCAAACAAAGCTGGTCGTAAGTAAGCTCAGAGCTCTAATAAGCACTCTCGGCCCGGCTGTCTGGTACAATTATCCTCCCAATTGGCCCTTATCTTTTTTGCACATATCTAAAAAGTCCTCTTATGTATGGATTAAAAAAAAAAAAAATTATCGAAGTATAATTTATATACCACAAAATCCACCCATTTAAAATGTATAGCTCAATATTTTTTAGTAAATTTGCCAAGTTGTAAAGTGATCCCCATCATCCAATTTTAGAATATTTTCATCACACCAATAAGATCTCTCATGTGCATTTACAATCATTTCCCGTTTTTACCCCCACACCTAGGCACACTAATCTACTTTCTGTCTCTATAGATTGTCTTGTTTGGACATACTCTATACATGGAATTTCACTTAGCATGTCTTTGAGATTCATCCATCCTGTAGCCTGTATCGGTTTGTCATTACTTTTTATTGCTAAATAGTATTCCATCGTATGGACATACCAAATTATATTTGGATATTTTATTGTCAGATGTCTTGCCCTCATTTTGGAAGTAAATGGAAATAAATAATATATAAGTAGATAGATATGCTTACTCTCAAGATTCCTTCCCCATCACTGGAGGTGTTTAGGTTTCATCAAGGATACTAGAGACAGGCTGCAAGGGTCCCAGATAATCGCCAGGATTTTGCCCGACCCAAAGATCTGGAAATTCTGTAAATGAGACCTGACTCTCAGGCTTCTTGAGGCTAGAACTACATCTAACCTTTATGATACAGTATCGTTCATCTCATCCATATATAAGCAGGAAGAGTAGACGAACTGGAAGGCATAAGTACAAGGAATTCCTTGCCACATCCTAGACACTACTGAGACAGTGACTTATAAAAAAGTCACATGTAAACTTAGGTCACATAAGATACCATTTAATCTAAAATTCGCAGGTATTGCCCAGATAAAAATAACAATCATAGCACCAATGTTTATCAAGTACTTTCTATGTACTAAGTACTGAGGCTTAGAGAAGTTGAATACCTTGCCCAAAGTTTCAGCATAACCATGGTGGAGCCAGACTAAAGCTGAGATTATCAAACCTCAGAGCCTACTTAAGACCCTACACGTCTTAAGTCCAGGCGTTATTATACATCGTCAATCCACTTGCCCCTGAGAAATTGGGATACAAGATGGGCTCCAGAATCTCAGTTGATCTCAATGGAAATTTTGATTTTTCTATTCTGTGCCAGGTCAATCATCACAGAAAACAAAGGGTTTGAATTCCAATTTGAACTTGCTTCACTAGGGAGCTTTTTAAAGACTTAAACTTGGCTTTTTTAATGCTTAAGAAAAAACAATTTGGATTGAGTTCATGATTCAGCAAATCAGTGCAGTTCATTCCAGGTTTAGTTCAACATTAGTTCAGTTCAAGTAGCCAGGTCAGCAAGCCTCAGAGAAGGGGGTGAGTCCTCCCTCACCCCCACCAGGAGTGAAGGCCATCAGCTGCTCAGCAGAGAACCAAGAATGCTTCACAGAATGGACCAGCTAGCAAGGCTGGGGCTCCACGTACAGACTGGGGTTTGCTCATGTCTTTCTCCTCCTTCCACTTTCCATCAGCATTCTTGGTCCTATCACCCAGACCAGCTGGAGAGGTCACAAAGGGGAGACCCAGCCAAGTCTCCCACCTGCTGGGTCTCCAGAACAATAGATGTCACCTGGGTGATAACGCGGCTGCCTCCTGCATACCCCCCAGGGGAACAAGCTTTTCTTGTTTTCCCAGATGTTTAGTGTTTGGGTTTTGGCTCATTTAGATGTTGTTGTTGATTGAGTTAAGAGCTAGAGAGAGAGAGAGGACTGAACTGTGTCCCTGGAGTCCTTCCTTCAGGAAATGCCCGTGTTTGACTTTCACCTGTCACTGACCACCGACCAGCATTTCCAGAGCCATCTAGGGCAGAACGAAAACATCTGGCATAGACTCTCATTTGATGATTTCCAAACGCTACCAAATATGCTTGTAAATCCCTAAAAAACATTCAAGTTCTCTTCTTTATCCTCTAGTGTTTAGGGAAAAATAATTTCCCCTTTGACCTGGGATTCCTGATTCCCTAGCAGGCCTAGAGTTAAAGCTTCAGAAGTTCTGTGAGTGCCTTGAAATCATGTAATAAATGTTATCAGATTCTCAAAGAGACCTGTGACCTCAAAGATATTAAAATCCACTTTTTGAAACTATTCACTACTAGCCTACCAAGAGGCTGCTGTCATTCTAGGTTACCCATTCTACTGCATTTTGCACTATCACAAATACCCTCTTTCATATAAATAAAGTATTTCCAAGTCCCAGATAGCCTGTTCTAGTAAAATTCAAGAATTTGGGTAATTCCTAAGAGCATGTTTAAAAAGCCTAACCTAGGAAAGTTAAACATTTGCATGATCATTCTGAGACAAATAATTTTTTTAAAGTTTTACAGATGGAGACTATAGACATATTGGCCCAAAACAACCCACTCCTCAACTTTTAAGGCTCTGTACCTTTCCCATGCTGATCTAACTCAATTCTCTCCTAAGTCACAGAATTCCTGGGCTTTCTACCTGGAAAGAAGCTTAAAGAACCTTAAAGCTGCTTTCAACTGGGCTCCTCTATGTCCTATGTTCCCCAGGGGCTACCGCAGCGATGAGGGTAAGGGGTCAGAGGACAGTGCTCTGAGTCCTTACCCCTGCCTCAGCTTAGAGCAGTCTGTTTGCACCTGACTTTTTTTTTAGACTGTTTTGTACTGGTCTCAGCCTATTAATAACCAATGGTATAGCTGGACCAGCCCTTGTGGTTCTTATGATTGTAA